GGAACCCATATCAAGGCGCACTTTCATTCAACTCAACAATTGACACATTATTCCAAGTTTCACAAATTATTTAACAACATCAATACCATCCTCTACCAATGGACATCCTCATAAACAACAGGTACTAAGTCCATGAATTCAATTTCATCCTCTTGATTTAGATTTTATTAACATTTATTCATTAAATAACTTTCATCTTTCAACTCCAATTCATTCAACTTCCAATTCACGCCGTTTTCAACACTCATAATTAAAGTCTGTTCCATCACTACCATCCCATCTTTACAAGTAGTATTTCGTCACGAATACAATTATTCACTTGTTTTAAAGAAAAAAAAAAAAAGAATCTCCAGCTCCTCTTACTTCTCATTTCACAAAAGTATATAAATGTTTTATTGATTTCTAAATTTTGTTTTCCCTTCTCTCTAAACTCCGAATACCCACAACAAATCGTCACAACTTTCTCATTAATTATCAAAACTCAACTAGTAATTTATTTTCATAATCCAATACATATGTAACACAAATTAATCCCATCTCCCAAACAAATAAATAACCAAATGATTTGGGACTTTTCATCACAACCCACATAAACAAGATCAACCAATCCAAAAATCTTTCATACACACAACATTTACCAACACCCTTTTTATCTCCTTGAAATTTCAATTTTTCGATAATTATTACAACTTAACAATTATAAAATCATAGACAACAGTTAACACAAATTAAATTTCATGATGACTTTCTTTATTTTCTTACATACCCATTTTCACATTTGTAATACACAATACCCCATCTGGTTCAAATAAAATCAAATCATCAAATTTTCTCCTTTCTCATAATTCATAAACAATTAATTAGGGTTTTTTACTCTAATTCTCTTAAATATTTTCCTTAAACATACAATCTCATATATTGACAATAAAACATAAGATTTAACTCTATATCATAAAATTCTAACCCTCATCACATGTTGTGACAGTTGAGTTCTTTGAACCACTCAAGCAATCATTTGGTCACTTGAGCGGAGATTTTCAGCATCCAGTAGTTTGTTGTTTTGCAGGCGGGACTGCTCGAGCGATGAAATTGTCGCTTGAGCATAGAATTCATGCTCCTAGTATTTTGGTTGTAGCTCTGCAAAACTTCTGAGACTTCTCATTTTTCGCTCGAGCGGTTGAATGATCGCTCGAGCGATCCCTTCGTAATTGTGATGTTCACTCGAGCGAAGGAGGTTGCGCTTGAGTGGTTAGTTGGGACAGTAGATTGTAAAAAGTTGATTCTTACTCATTTTCATCCCACTTTTCATACTCTCTCTCTCTCTAACCTTACTTTTTTGCAAACCCTCATCCATAAACTCTAGATTTCTCTAATTTCAACCTAAGATCCACTCAAAATCTTCCAAGAAAAGTTGAAAAGAGACTTAGATCAACTTTTTTATAGATTGTTTCACGAGTTCATGAACATTTCAAGTGTGGTTCTCAAGCCTAGCTTCCTATTTCGACGTAGGGGTGTCTTTAATTTGATATATCTTCAATTTGAATGACTTATGTGGTAATTTCATTGTTATTCATGTAGTATATATATCTATATATCTATATATATGTATGTATGTATGGATTGTGTTGTTAGTAAATGATTTGGGAATAAGTGGAAATTATTTTGTGATTACGGTTATTAATGATGATTATTGTAGTTGATGGTGTAAATTAACCTACAATTTTTTTAAGAGACAAAACCCCAAAATTTTCCATAAACCGTAGTTTTGAGTCTTGTTCAATAAAGAGGGGTTTCGCTCAACTGGTTTCAAAAACATGAAATTAAACATATTTACTTGACTTTAAGGCTGAAATATCATATTTGAAGCTTTTCTCTTATACACCTTGAGTTGATAAGGATTGTTGATGAGGTGTCATTCTTTGTTGATGCGAGAAGTATGGAAATTCTATGGTTTAAAATCATCTTAGGGAAATTAAAGCTTTACAAATTCATGCATCATATGCATTTTAAATACCTGTTAACATTATGATGAGGAAGATTGTTGAAAAATTGAAGGGGGCAAATAGTCTACGTGTCCGGGTAGTGAGTCGGGCTGAGTTTAAATTGTGTAATGTAATGTGTACCCGTGTGCAAAGTCAAGGTGCCCAATTGCCCTGTCTGTGCATATTGTTGGACGAATGTGGGAAAATGTTTTTGGGTGTCCATGAGCCCGCCGTTTCTAGAGCCAGCAAACATGGAAAAACATGGTTTTGGGTGTCCACGTCCCCGCCGTTTATAGAGTCGACAAATGTGGAAGGGAAAATGTTTTTGGGTGCCCATCGCCCCTCCGTTTCTGGAGTTGGCAAATGTGGGACTATTTTCAGTATACAAATCTATATCTATGTATGTACATTTTGAATTTTGGCTCTTTCTTGGGACGTCATAAATATTTACCACCTAAGCATATTGTGAAAAGATGAAACAATTTCATGTATCGCGTATTTTCACTCACATACGTAGATGCTTCTATATTACATCATCTATGTATTTCAAATGTTGCATTGCATGATCATGGGTTATTCAATTGGCTACATAACTTGTTAAATTCATCACCTACTCAGCTTATGCTCACCCCAAAGCTAACAAATTTCAAGAAAAGAAGATGAAGCACCTACCAAGTGATTGTTTTGATAAGAAGGAACCTTTTTGGAGCTTGATGGCATGTCTTGTGATATTTTGTTGAGTTGTTTTACAAGGGTTGTAATTATATGTTGATATTTTGAAGACGTACATTTTGTAAGGAGGTTCATTTGCAATTTAAATGTTGTAGACGTTTCTTACTCTATAAACTGTTTTTGTTGTGTTATGTATGTAAGAAAGTGACATTGTAAATTTTGGGAAATAGTTCAAAGGAAAAGTGATGTAAAGAATGTTATAATCTTGTTGTTATGTATGTTTTCATTTTGTATGTGTTGTGTGGTGGCAATGCCTAGGAGAACAAGATCTGGAATGGTTCTTTTCAGGGCATTACAAATTGTTATCAGAGCTAACCAGGTTTGAATACCTGGAACTCGTGGGAAGGGGCTTAGCCGCATAGGGTATCATGTTAAGAGAGGATGTTAGATTGTCTCATACATCTTAATTATTTGTGTGATTATGTGGGTATAGAGTTAAGCTCTTAGGATATGACTTGTATCTATTGCAATATCTGAAATCCTTTTGGAAAGACACCTGATCAATGCTTTTTCCTCTTGGAAATCTTTGAGTGCCATAGTGCTAGTCAAAGTCTTGGGAGAGTAACTTTTGTGAGCTCCATGTGTTTATGTAAATATGTGGTGTGCTTCATATGATATAGGTATTTACAAGAGTATGTTTAACTCGCATGTGTCTTGTGTGGGTTGATGTATGGTGTATGGGTTGTGAGTTAAATCTATATTCCATACCTTTATCTAAGATGTCGGGAGGCGGTAGAGGTCATGGTAGGTCGTGCAGAGGTCATCGGGACATTCCGGCACAACAGGATCTTTTTCTCCAAGAATAAGGGGTGGGGCAAAATGACGCAGCTGCTCTGCCAGCCCAAGATGCGATGGGGGCATTAGCTTGGGAGATAGTGGTGGCTCTCTGTGCATCCATGGAAATACTCTAAGTCGAGCAAGTGACGAGGACAATTAGAGGGGAAAATAGAGTCTCCTTCTTGATGAAAGAATTTTTCCGTTCTAATCTTGAAAAGTTTAGTGGTGGGCTTGACCCAATAAAGGAGAACGAATGGATGGAGCAGATTATGAAGGCATTTGAGATTCTAGATATCTGTGACGGAGAACTTCAGGTGGCATTGGCGGCTTATCAGTTAAAGGGGGAGGCTGGTCAATGGTGGAAATTTGTGAAGCCTAGAGTGGAGCATACTTGGGAGGCATTCACTCATGCTTTCCAGGAAAAGTTCTTGCCTCCCACGACAAGGGAGAGTTTGAGAAAGCAATTTGAAGAACTAAGGCAATTAAACACGCTAGTAGTAGAACTTGAAGCCGCTTTTACTAGTTTACCACATTTTGAGCCCGAGCTTGTAGCAACTGAGGAGCGTCGGTGTTTAGAATTTGTGAAGAGGATAAGACCCAAAATTCTAATGAAAGTGATGGGTAATATGTATCGAGAATACGATAGATTGGTGGAGGTTGCAGCCCATGTAGAGATTGTGCTAGAAGCCGAAGAAGCGAGGTAGAAGCACAAGAGGTCGAGTTACACCGAATCTAGAGGTGATACGGGGTCTTTTAAGAGATCTAGGGGTTCATTTTCTTCATCCTCCTGGTCCACACCCTAACAAGCTAAATCATCAGGGTCCATTTCTATGAGAAGTTCGGGTAGTGCAGGTCTCTATCGTGTTACCTATTTCAGATGTGGCCAACAAGGTCACAAGGCATCAAATTGCAAATAGAATCCTAGTTATCAACAACCAACTCGTTCTCAAAGTCAAGCCCAATGGAGAGGCTAATGCTTGTGTGCTACCATTGCGGACAATTCGGTCAGATGAAGAGATTTTGCCCATAATTGGTTGGAGCGGGGAGTACTTTGGGGTCTCAAAATTTTAGGAGTAATCAAACAAGTCAAGGGAAGAGGCAAAGCTATCAGCCAATTCAGTCCAGGCAAACATTGAGGGCAGTGCAAGGAGCCACATCAGCACAGTTAACACAACCAGCCAATACTTCAAGAGGTGATCGAGATGATCAAAGACCTTAAGGACGAGTCTATACTATTACTACTCTTGAATAGTCATCCTGGCCATTGGTGATGAGAGATACTTACCTTATCTATAATACGTGGGCCAACATATTGATAGATGTCAGGGCATCGCATTCATTCATTGCATCTGCATTTGCATCCACGTTGGGCCTAAAAGTAAAATGATTAGAATCTTCACTTATGGTAAAGTCACCACTTGGGGCTCAAGCTGTTTTGGATCGGGGATGTTGTGGGTGTATAATCGAGGTAGTTGAACATCAGCTCATTTTTAATCTTGTGTGTTAGAAATGTCAGGCTTTGATGTCATTCTTGGTATGGATTGGTTGTCCTCGTATCGTGCTATTATAAATTGCTACCATGGAAGGGTTATGGTGTGTACCACAAGAGGGGACTATTTTTATTTTCTAGGGGATAGAACTCACGGAGGATTGTCACCATTGTATGATCCAAGAACTCAGGGTAAGCTTAGTTTCCTTCTTGCAACCATCATAGATGATGAGAACATTGTGGTTCGAGAGATGCTTCCTAAGGTACTCTATGAGTATCCATATGTTTTTCCTGAGGATCTTACTGAGTTGCCGCCTCAGTGTGAAGTAGAATTTTCTACAGATTTAGTACCGGGAACAACATCTATCTCAATGTTGCCATATAGTTTTGCCCTAGTGGAGTTACTTATGTTAAAGGAGCAGTTACAGGAATTGTTAGACAAGGGTTTTATACGTCCTAGCACGTCACCATGGGGAGCATCGACCCTCTTCGCTAAGAAGAAAGATGGTTCATTCTAGCTATGTTCTTGATTCTAAAGTGGAACATAAGAAAGACCTTCGCATTGTCTTACAACTCCTTAAAGAACATCAATTGTATGCTAAATATGAGAAGTGTGAATTTTGGCTCTCAGAAGTGAAATTTTTGGGTCATGTGGTTTCGAAGGAGAGAGTTACGGTAGATTCTTCTAAGGTTGAAGCAGTGCAACAATGGGAATGACCTAGAAATTGTTTTGAGATTCGTAGCTTCTTAGGTCTTGCCGGGTATTATTGGCAGTTTGTGAAGGATTTTTCCACTTTAGTGGCGCCTTTGACCAAATTAACTAAAAAAGGGGTGAAGTTTGTTTGGAATGAAGCATGCGAGAAATCCTTTTTAGAATTAAAGGCTAGATTAACTATTGCACCCCTCTTGATTATTCTAGAAAGAGAAAGAGGTTATACAGTCTATTGTGATGCTTCTAGAGAGGGGTTGGGATGAGTTTTGATGCAAGGGGGTAAAGTTATAGCCTATGGTTCTCTCCAATTGAAAACCCATGAGAAGAACTACCCCACTCATGATCTTGAATTAGCTGCAGTCATCTTCGCTTTGAAACTTTGGAAACACTATCTTTATGAAGAGAAATTTGATGCACTTTTTGATCATAAGAGCCTCAAGTATTTGTTTTCTCAGAAAGATTTGAACCTGTGTCAGAGAAGGTGGATGAAGTATATAAAAAACTACGATTTTGAATTGCATGGCCACCAAGGAAAGGCAAACGTAGTTGTTGATGCCTTGAGTAGAAAGTCTATGAGTACGGTTGTTAGCCTTGCTATGAGAGAGTGGAAGATGATGGGTGACTTAAAAGAGTTTGATGTACAACTTGGCAGATCACCTAGTCAAGCTACCTTATTTTCAATTTTAGCTCAGCCAACACTAGTCACACAAGTTTTAGAAGCACAACAAAATGATCTAGAAGTAGAGGCTATTATTGAGAAAATCTTACAAGGAAAAAAAGAAAAATGGTTGAGGGTGCATTCTAACGTAGGTATTTGATATGTAGATCGCCTCTTCACTCCCTAATCTTGTAGAGATGACGTACTACGAGACTCCCATCACTCCCGTCTTGATGTTCATCCTGGAGGTACAAAAATGTATCGTGACTTATGCTATTAATTTTGGTGAAGAGGTATGAAAAAGGATGTAGCTCTATTTGTGTCTAAATGTCTAACTTGTCAACATGTTAAAGTGGAACATCAAAGACCGGTCGGGTTGTTACAATCCTTACCTGTAACTGAATGTAAATAGGAGCACATCACTATGGATTTTGTTTCAGGTCTCCCTAGAACTCAGAAGGGTAATGACGCCGTTTGGGTCATAGTACACCGACTAACCAAGTTGGCACATTTTCTTGCAATGTATGTGGCTGATTCAGTTGACTATCTTGCAAAACTTTATATGTTAGGGATATTATTTGATTCGGAAAGTATTGTCTTGGACAGGGATTCTCGTTTCACCACACGGTTGTGGCAAACTTTACAAATAGCTGTGGGCACTCAATTGACCTTTAGCACTGCTTACCATCCTCAAACTGATGGTCAATTTGAACGTATATTTCAAATTTTAAAAGACATGTTGAGAGCTTGTGTGCTAGATTTCAAAGGGTTAAAGGAGAAATATTTACCACTAGCCGAATGCATATATTTTTTTTGGGTGAATAGCCGAATGCATATATAACAACAACTATCAAACTAGTATTGGGATAACACCTTTTGAGGCATTGTAGGGTGTCCATGTAGATCACTTGTGTGTTAGACTGAAGTAAGAGATTCACCCTTTGTAGACACCCTATTTTGATAGGCTTTAAGACTTGGGTGCCTCACTCTGAACACTTGATGATGAAATATTACGTTGTGCAACTGTTCAAATCATCAGCAAAAGAATTTAGTTTTGAGCTTCAAATCCAAACCTTGCACCCCATTTTGACCAAAATGTTTTAGACCTTTAACAATCCTCTTTTTAAAAATTAGATTCGGCCGTGGGTGTTTGAGTTGTGAGTAGTTAGAAGCGGCCAGATCTCATAGGTAGCAAGACCAATTGAACCAAGCAGGCCACTTTTTTGGTCGGCTGGCTATGTTTAGCGCAGAAAGATATTTTACAGCAGCCAGCTGTCCCTTTGCAAATATTTCCAACATGAGATGTTGTTTTTCTATAAATACAAGGTCCCCTTCTCATGGTTTGGAGTTAGGAAAAATCGTCTAAGAGCCATAGCTTGTCCAATATACTTCCTTCCTCCGTTGCAATATACATACACCATAGATACACCATACAAGTTAAAAACTTGAGGCTTTTGTTGAGATTCTTGAACATAATTTTAGACATTTGAGAGTGTTGAGCTTGCGGTTTGTGAACTAAGAAGCTTTTCCTCTCTTTCATGAGGTAAACTTTGAGCTCTTTTACCATATTTTCTCTCTCTTTTCTTTGCCTTTTCATACTGATTTCAGAGCTATTTTAAGCTTAAAAATGTGATTAAAACTTGGTTACTAGTGAGTGACCTAGCCACTCTTTCATTGGCTAGCTCACTAGTTATGTACCCCTTTGTTTTTCTTCCATTTTTCTGCTTTCTTTTCACTTTATTTAGTAAATTTCATTACCTTTTTAGCACTGTTTTTAGTTTGTTTTTGTGTGATATTAAATGAATAAGGGCTTATAAAGGGTCCTCATCCTCCACACTACTTGTGCTCTTACTTCCTATGCCTTACATATCATATTTGTGTTGTTGCAAGTCCTCTCGGATTTGGCTTGTTTAGGATATAACACCAATACGTTAAGTTAATCATTTTTATCTTTCATTATGTAACTTGGAACCTTGTGGTCATGGGAGGATTAGAGCTTAGCCTTAGCCACCTCGCCACAAGTTTACTTATCTAGTGTAAATTTCTTGCTTTCATATTCTTGTTGTCCACCTTGAAGCTAGGTAGTAACTTCCCTGTTCAAAGTGTTGAAAAACTTTATTATCCATCATTTTTGACACATGGAAATGGATGTATCATCCTTGTTCCATGAAAAGAGGTGTTGTTAAGAACTTTGATTAGTTGTGTGTTTAAGCTTTGATAGGTAGCTTGCTTTTTGTTTTTTTATCCTTCCTTGCTTTGTGGCTCCTAAAGAGCTCTTTCTTGAAAAGGTTGAAAACTCTCTCCTAGTTCCACTTTGAAGCATGGAAAGGGATGTTTCATCCGTATTCCATAAGTAGGGAGATGAGTTGACAACACTCTTTGAGTTGTTACTTTTGTTCCTCTTTGGTAGCTTTATGATCATCATGTACTATCTAGTGACTTGGTGATTTGTGAGTTAAGCATACTTACCTCTTCCTTGAATAAATTTCATGATAGGAAGGAGGTAAGGAGAATAGCTTTGTTTTGTGTTTAGTTAAGTCTTTTCCTTTTGCTTTCAAAGATCATCATGCAACAACCTTGTTATGGTTGATGATTTATGAAGCAAACCTACTCCCTCCTTGAAAATCCTCATGACATGAGGAAGCAGGGAGGATGCAGAGCTTTTGGAAACCCTCAGTCTTGTTCTATTCCAGTTCTGCTGCAGCAGGGTATTCTCTAGAAACAGTGGCTGGTCGACCACAATCTTATACGACCGACTAGTTTAATACGCCATCCGGCTACTTTGTTCAGTAAAACAAAGTAGGCACGACCATATTTTGTTAGAGCCCACCGAGCCTCATTATAGGCCAGCTGGGCTTCATAATGGGTAAACAACAGTCTATAATTGGCAAAGCAGAACAAATCTTGAGGCCAAAACAGAAATATTTTCAAGTTGTAAACAGAGCAGCTTTTGGCAGTGAGCAGAGAGAGGTTTCTAGAGGATGTTCTTGGATGTGCGCGCGCGATTTCCCGCCTTCAATTTAATTCCTTTAGATTAGTATTTGTAATTAATTAGTTTCTTTCATTTGGATGTGTACTAATTAATTAGTTCATTCACTTGTGTTGTAATAATTAGTTAATTAGGACATTCATTCGGACCCTCTTGTGCGATGGCAAACTTGTAATATTTGTATGTCTTCCAACCCCCATTTCTTTCTCCCTTTTATTTACATGCTTACCCTGGTTGCATATAGTATCATGTTTTTGTTTCATAACATTGCCATGCTTTATATCCATTTTTGTATGCATTAGGTTCGGTTCATCATTCTAATATCATTGTTATTTTTCCTACTTACTTGAATACGTGCGTTACCACATCCTTTGGGTTGATCCATATGACATGATAAATAAGCCGAACCTAGTAGTTGCATTTTGTATGTGTTGCATTTGTCACTTTGCATAGTAGGAGCATGCATTTTTTCAAATTATTTTATTTTCTTTTCTTTGGCTTGCCTCGGTTGAGTACTAGGTGAGTATTTTTTGCTTTAGCATATTGCATGTGCATTTGTGTTGCCATATCAAGCATATTACCATAAGGCTAAGTGTTCATTTGAAATAATTGTTTGAATTCCTGTGGATGAAGGCTATTTCGCTTAAGTTGGGATGACTTTGATAAATGCACATATGAGCTTGCTTTTCAGGAGCACATATGCAAAACTCTTTTCAAACAAACATGAAATCAAAGCTTTCCAAAGTAAGTGACACAGTCTATACTTGTTTGCTTCAAACATAGTAATGTTTAGCATAGTAATCAGAACATGAGCATATAATGTACATAAAAATCACATCACGATTAGTAGAGACTGATCTTTGATCGGGTAAGTGAGGTGCTCAATTCATGACCTTCTCCTCTCATACCTAAATTCTGGAGCTAAGACACTTTGGTTATGACGGATAAGTAGCGTTTGGCACGAGTCACATGTTTCCTAAATTTCTCAAAAATATTTAGGTGACGACTATGAAATCTGACAATGTAGTCCATTTTTGGCATCTCTGATGATAAATGGATTTTCTAAAGATTTGTCAGATTTGAACTCTCATTTGTGTTTTTTTTTTTTTTTGTTTCACATTGCACTTGTGAAACCAGATTTATAGCCATGGGAGTCTGA